CGTGACAGGGGGGCCAGCGCGGAGAGCGGCAGTGGCAAGGGGGCGATGGGTGTCGGGATGGTCACCGTGCCACAGCCCGCGGGTCCCCATCCAGATGCCCTGCAGCCACTTAGGCTCCGCGGAGGGGATTCAGCTCGCCAGTCGGCTTCCTGCACACGTAACACTGTATGCGTGCCGTGTGCTCCGTGCACGTGGCATGTGTGTGCACGCTTCCTCCATACACGTAGACGCACGTCACGCACAGACGTGTGCGTTACAGGAACACACCAGATGTGCACGCCACGTACCACGTGTGCACACTGCACACTGCAGTCACCTGTTTCCTGTGTGGGTTATGAGCACGTTACACGCCACACGTGCACAAAGCACGCAGACCTCACTGAAGACCGCGATGCACCTTTTCCCCCGAGTGTTCACCTGCTTGACACCACAGTCCGGCCCCCAAGGGGCCTGATGGTCGGGCAGACACTGAGTGTTTGTAATTGTAGAACAATATTTGGGGACATCAAAGTGTGTTTCCCTTGAGATTCTTGTACTTTGGAGCAGTCAATGTGGTATGAAAGGAAGACCGCCCACTTGACTGCCCCGACCGAAAGTGACCGCTGACCCCGGCGAAAGTGGCCGGCGTGCAGGGCCGCTGCCCGTGTCCCGCAGTCTAACCGCCACCTCTGTTTCCCCAGCAGACCAGCCGTGCACATGGCCTCTGACGCCACACTTCGATGACGAGGGACACTCCTCCACCCCCAGCAGCATGAAAGGCTTGACCGGGAGCCGGAATCAGCCGCAGCTGTGTCCCGGCCACACCTGCGGGTTCACAGCGCTGGACGGCTGTTCACACGCCCACGAGCTGGCCCTCCATGGGCCGGAGGCCAGGCGGCCCTACCTGCTCAGCCCCACGGACAGCTGCCCCGGGGACCGTCACCGCTGCTCCCCCAGGAGCTCCGTCCACTCCGACTGCATGATGGTGCCTGTGGTGCTGGGCGACCACGTGTCCAGCAGCACGTTCCCCAGGACGCACTGCAGCTCACATTACGACACGAGAGACGACTGCGCCGTGTCCCACGCCAGCGCGAAAACCCACCGGATCCCGGCCAACCTGCTGGACCAGTTTGAGAAGCAGCTGCCACTGCACAGGGACGGGTTCCACACGCTGCAGTACCAGAGGGCGTCGGCCCCCGAGCCCCGCGGCGAGAGCCCCGGCCGCATCCGCCACCTCGTCCACTCCGTGCAGAAGCTCTTCACCAAGTCCCACTCGCTCGAGGGCGCGTCCAAGGGCAACGTCAACGGCAACAAGGGGGACGGCCGCGTGGACGACCACCACGGCCGCCACGCCAAGCACGGCAGACGCAGCAAGAGCAAAGAGCGGGTGCCCGAGGCCAAGCCGCGGTCGGGGCTGGGCAGCTGGTGGAGCTCCGACGACAACCTGGACAGTGATAGCACCTACCGCGCGGCTAGCGTGGCTGCCAGGCATTTCGCAGACCACGGCCCCCACTGCTACCCTGAGCCGTTCCTGGGCCCCTTCGCAGGCCTCTCCCTGAAGCCCTCCAAGAGCAACAGCGACGTCAAGTGCTCGGCCTGCGAGGGCCTGGGCATGGCGCCCGAGGCCACCTACATGAAGCGGAGCTCCTGGTCCACGCTGACCGTGAGCCAGGCCAAGGAGGCCTGCCGCAAGAGCTCCCTGAACTTGGACAGGCCCCTGGCCCACCAGGACATCAAGCCGCCCCTGCGGCCGTGCCACTACCTCCAGGTAAGCAGCTAAGCGGGAGTGACCGCCACGTGCACCGTGGTTCACACAGCCGTCGCTCGGCGCCCCTGCCCGCCGGCCACAGCCCCGGCCTGAGCACCGGGAGGCAGCATAGGGTGGGCCATGCCACCGAGGGATGCAGTCGAGCAAGAGGAACAGGTGGCCCACGGTGACGCCTCCTTGTCTGAAAGGGGTCGCTCAGGGCCAGCGGGCGTGGGCCTGCATCCCAGAGGGTCTCGCCGAGCACTCCTGACCTCGGCCGCCGTGGCCTTGGGGATGCCGCCGGGCGTGGTTCCGGCACATGCCGTTTCCCCAGGCCGTGGCAGGCGAGGCACTGTGGGTGACCTGGGAGCCTGGGGGGGACCCTCTGAGGTGTCCCAGGGCCTTCTCACCTCTGGCACCAATCACAGCGTCGCTGCCCGTGGGGGGACGGCTGCCAGGGCCCCCGCCTCTCTCGAGGGCCCCCGCAGTCACCGCCCAGCAGCGCTGTGTGCAGGGCCAAATGCGTGACGCGTCTCCTTCCCGCGTGCGTGGCCTGTGCTCCCGTCCCGTCACGCCCCTGCTGAGCATCGGGCTGGCGGGGACTTCCCAGACGGTGAGCAACAGCGCTGAGTGGTGGCTGCATCGTCAGGCGGCCAGGCAGTGGGGCGGATGACCCCGGCCGCGGTGCTCACAAGTCCCGGCAGCGACCCCAGGGCCATCCCGGTGCGTTGTCTGAAACGCAGGCGTCCCACTCAGGAGCAAGAGCTCGGCGGGCGGCGTTGTCAGGCAGGTCTGTTAGGAGGCAGGTGGGCCTCAGGTAACACCGGGTTGTAGCACACGGGATGTGAGTTTCACTAGCGGTCAGCCTAGCCGAGCCGCAGGCCCTGGGCGCCCCGACCGGCGAAGCCCTCGTTTCTGTGCCCGACGTGGCGTCCACGGGTGTCCCCAGCAGACCACAGTGGAGCCGCAGCCACAGTGCGGCCCCCACTGGCCAGCCATCCCTCAGCCCCCTCTGTCCACCGCGCCCTGCTCCCGCAGCCTCTTCTCGCTGCCAGCGGCTCTTCCTAACGTTTTAGTTGTGGAGAACAGTCCTGTAAAGGGATGATGAACCCCACACAGTCGTCACCCCGCTTCAAGCCAGTCCGTGCGTGGCTAGGCTTGTCCGTCATGTAGAAATGCCCCGCAGCTGCGGCCACCCTGCTCTGGTCCCCGGCCAGCCGCGCTGGGAGGCCGGCTCTCCCCCCGGAGACATGGTCAGGCATCCAGGCCGGCAGCAAGGCTCGTGGCGTCACCCTCCCGGTCACCTTGTGTCCCCGAGGGCAGTTTGTTTTTAACGGCGTGTTAGATCCGGGCCCGACGGGTGGCTGCCCGTCTCTGTCCTGCTCCCACTGTCCCCCGGGAGTGTTTTGGGGGCTGTGGGGCTTAGGGTCCAGCTTGCATGTCTGACAGGTGCCTGCCGCGTGGCTCCCTCTGCGCTGGCCCCCCCATGGTGTCACTGCAGGCGGGTCTCTGGCCCTTGTGTTTCTGCCACCAGGCCAGTGGCCTCCGAGTTTGCTGCCCCGTGGCTTCTCCCGGCACACTGTGGGTCACTGAGGGTTCCACCCTCACGGGCCCCCGGCCAGCCCGAGACCACATCAGACCTGGCCTTCCCCATGCGGCGCGTGACCAGGAGGACTCGGGCGTCGCCGGCCAGGTGGCTCCGGCCTTGGTCCAGTGACGCAGGAACAACAGTCTGTGATCCGATCTCATGAGGAAGGGGACCCCGGGGGGCACAGCTCAGACCCCAGCCCCTGCGAGGAGTGATGCAGCAGGTGGAGGTGAGCGAGCGAGCACGTCACCACGTCACCGCCGGCCACGCCCAGTCGTGCACTGCTGCAGGGGCCAGGCCCACACCGGCCGTGCAGACCTCTGGCCCGCTGCCCGGGACTTGGGCCCCGTGTCCCATCCGTGTGCACGACGCAGCGTCCGAACGTCGCCTGGAACACGGCTGCCCCCAGAGCTGTGGATGCGGGCGCCAGGGCGTCCCAGGGGTGCTGTCTCCCCGCAGCCGTGTGACCCCACTGGGGCCCACACTGTCAGAGGCCGTGCGGTTTCCAGCAGCCGCCCCACCCCCACGTCTGTGTGCGGCCACCGCCTCCGGGACATGGATGAGACCCCTCTCCTTGCTGGCTGTCCTCTCGTGGCCACCGCTGGTCACTGCAGATGCGTGGCCATCCCCGGCTGCTCGTCCAGTCTTCCTGTGCTCCAAGGGGCTGAGGCCCAGCATTCCCCCAGCCCTGCCCTGGCGTGGGAGGCGGGGTCCCGGGACCCGCGGTGGCCGCCGTACCCGGAGGAGAGGCTGCACAGCAGGAGGCGGGGTCGGTGCTGCTGCCAAGGATGCTAAAGATCGGGGCTGAGAGTCGTTTTCGGTCTCGCCTCGTGCGTAAGGTGCTGTCAGCATTCGAGGAACATTTTTTATGTTTCAGGTAGGTTGACGCAGACGACGGGCAGATTGAGAGCAAATCCAGATCCGTTTGTTCTTAGAAAAAAGCTCTTGTTTTCCTGTTTTCTCCACGAACAGACAAGGCATCGAAGGTCAGCCTCGTGACCGTCGCTGATCAGGTGGGCGAGTCACAGCTGAGCTCAGGGAGCACGTGGCCGCATGTGTCACCTGCTGCAGTGAGGTCTGGGGACATGCAGGGTGGGGCTGCAGCCCCGGGAGGGCAGCCGTGCCCCCCTCCGCACTCCGCTCCCACCGCCTCCCGGCCCCGCACTTTGTCGCTTCCCTCTCTCCTGACTTCTGGTCCAGACCCGCAGAGTCCCTGCTGGGGAGCAGCCACGTCAGCCCCGCGGTTCTGATTGGCCGTGCTGCGGTTTGTGACGCACATGTGCGTTTGGACACGTGGGGCGGACACGAGGTGGGGCGCATCCTGAACCGTGAGAACGTGTCACGTTAAGCAGCACTTCCCGCTGCCCCCGTCCGTCCCACTGATGCTCGATGCTCAGGCCCCTGGGCGGGGTCAGGGGCCGCAGGACCGGCCCTGACCACGTCATAGTGGTGAGGCTACCTGGCCTGCCCCCCAGGAAGGGCACTCGGCCGCGGCGGGCACTTGGAACACTGAACGTCTGCCCTCCCGTCAGCCACCTCTGTTCACCGGGTCGTGCGATGCGGTTCAGAAAAAACCCGTCTTCGCCGGGGCCAGGCTCCCTGTCGCTGCTCCTGCAGAGGCTTCTAAACGGTGCGGCCACATCCCCATGGGATTCCCACGGAGGCAGACGTCAGCTCGGCAGAGGGCTGCATTGTGTTCGAGGACGGCTGGCTGTCCCCATGTGCTCTCTCTGGCCACCCCCCATCGCCCCGATGTCCCTCCCTATCACTGACTCAGGTCACTCAGCGCTGCCCCTGTCCTGCCTCACAGACCTGCTTGGCCATCTGTGATCTGTGTCCCCGACGACACTCAGGCCTGGACGCACTCGGTGGTTGTGGCCTCTGCACCTGGCACGGGCTCACGGCTCAAGCATCTGAACGAAGGACCAGCGAGTCCCTTTGTCCTGGAATGTCCTTGGCCCCTGAAAGCAGAGAGGAAAGCTGCTCACACGCCTTCAGCAGAAGCGTTTTCCGGGCATGGAGACCCCAGAGCCAGCGCCCAGGGGCGTGACGAGCCCCAGCCCTCGGCCCCCACGGCCCCGCACCCCAGCATGGCCCACCCAGAGAACCAGCTTCTCGGAAAACTTCCCAGTGCTGAGAGATTCAGAGGCAAAGAGCGAGGAGAGCGACTGTGTGAGGTTCACAGCCTCAGGGACGATGACGCCTTCCAGGACAGAAGGGCCGCAGCGTCCTCGGCTCTCTCTGCTCCAAGGGCACGTCTGCCGTTCGAAGGGGAGGAGTTTGTCTCAGCTCCTGGTTCCACAGCCTGGCCAGGGACGCACGCGGAACTCGGTCACCCATGTGACTCTCAAACTGACAAGAGACCAAGTCCGGGAGGCATTTCCAAAGCCCCGCGAGGCCACTTTGCACATGAACGTGTGACTTTGAAAAGCCACGAAGGTCCACCCTCTGTGGTCCTTGGTCTGTATCCAGCCGTGTCAACTGCGGGCTAAGACACAGAGCGGCTGCCCAGGGTCCTGGCGACACAGCCAGGGGACAGTCTGCAGGCACTTCAGGGGCCCTGGCCGTGGGCTTGGGGCTCCGTGACACCTCTCATCCACCCAGTCACAGCGCCCGGAGCCCGCTGACTGTCCACAGTGACTTGTCACCGCTGGGAGTGGCGCCATCACAGCCACTTGGGGAGTTGCCTGGACTCTGTGCTGAGTCCCTCCCAGAACACGCTCAGGTGGGCAGGTCCCGCTGGACGCCCCTCAGTGCACCTGGGAACCACTGGCCCCTCAGGCAGTCATCGTCATCGGCTATTTACAGCGTCTGCTTGTGACTCTGAGACGTCCTCACACTGGCACCGTCATGTTTGCTGGCTCTGTTCAGTCTCTCTCAGGACAGTACTGCATTTCTGGACACTGGGCACCCCTACAAAGGCCCCCCTGGAAGGGTTTGTCAGGGAGCCGTCAGAGCGAGGGCAGGGACCAAACCACACGGGGTCCGTGACGGTGACAGCCACTCCCCTGGGCCTATGGGGGCGATGCAGGGACAGGCAGCCTGTCCTGGCTGAAGCAGCCCCTGCCGGAGACAGGCCTGGGCCAGGAGGGAGCCGCAGGAGTGTGCACACCGGCTCGCTGCCCGCCCGCGCCGCCATGAACCAAAGCCAGCTGAGCTGGACAGCAAGGGACAGCGCAGTCTCCCTCAGTGTCGGGAGGAGCAGGACAGAGAGAGGAGAGTGGATGGGGAGGTGACAAGGGTGCGTGACTGTCACGCGGGGACGGTGACTCACGCGGGGACGGTGACCCTCACGCGGGGACGGTGATTCTCACACGGGGACGGTGACCCTCACACGGGGACGGTGACCATCACACGGGGACGGTGACCCTCACGCGAGGACGGTGACCATCACGCGGGGACGGTGACCCGCACGCGGGGACGGTGACTCTCACACGGGGACGGTGATCCTCACGCGGGGACGGTGACCCTCACGCGGGGACGGTGACCCTCACGCGGGACGGTGACCCTCACGCGGGGACGGTGACCCTCGCGCGGGGACGGTGATCCTCGCGCGGGGACGGTGACCCTCGCGCGGGGACGGTGACCCTCACGCGGGGACGGTGACCCTCACGGGGACGGTGACCACGCAGGGACGGTGACCCTCGCACAGGGACGGTGACCCTCACACGGGACGGTGACCCTCACACGGGACGGTGACCATCACGGTCATCAGCAGCGTGTTGCGTCCATTCCAGTGTGTCACCTTTAGTGCCTGGTGTCGTCCAGTGCCTGTGGCGGGCACTGCGGAAACGCTTGCTTCGCGCTGCCCGTGGAGGGTGCTGGGTTTGGAACTTGCCGGCCGCGCGTCTGGCGCCTTGCGTCCCCGTCCCCGTTTGTGGTTGGACTGTGGTGGGACCGTCCTCGACCGCTGCAGGAGCCTGCGGCGCGGGGTGGGCCAATGCCGCCTCGTCCACGGGCACTGGTTGAGGGTGCGAAGCGCTCGGGGCGCGTGTCCACGGGGCCTCAGGAGAAGGGCCGGGGCTCAGGCTCTCGGGCGCTGCCCCGTCCAGGCCGCGGTGTTTACGGCTGGTCCTGGGGCGCTCGCCTCCACCCTGCTCCAGCTCCCGGCAGCCGTCCTCGGGCGGGGTGTTTCCCGTTACTGCCAACGAGTGACCTGGGGGCCGACCCCGCCACAGCGGCAGAGCGAAGGCCGCGCTGCTGGACATGCCGTCCTGTGCGTCTGCTCCGCTTTAGACAGTGAGGTGCGGCCCTAGGAAGATGCACTCGGCACCTCGACGGTGACTCGGGGGGCGACCAGAACGAGCGCAGGACGGAAGCAGACGGGGTCCAGCACACACGGCACGGAAGCTGGCTCCTCGCCGCGTGGGGCGGCTCTGTCTTCCCCGCTCTGGCCCTTCTGGCCCCGGGCCGGGCACGCCGCGCCCCCCAGCACGTGACGAGCACACGTGCCCCGCAGGCTGGGACGGCCCCGCAGTGGCACTCAGCGTGCCGCCGTGCGATCCGGGAGCCCGCGGCCCTGCTTCCAGTGCATGCCCCGCGCCAGCCGCACTGACGGCGGAGCGTGTCGCGTGAGCAAAGCAGACATTTCCCTGGGAAACAGGGTTTCATGGCGATTTTCTTCCTTGGTCAACTCCCGAAAGCGGGGATTGTTACCCACCTAGCCCCGCCCCCTGCACCCTGCTGCAGGAGACAAAGGGGGGCCGCCCGAGGCGTCCTGGGAGCCGCAGCAGGCACCGAGCGCACCACGTCCGCGGGGCGGTGCGGTCGCTCGAGGGAGCAGCGCCGAGGTGGGCGTGCGGAGGCCGCCATCTGCGGCTCCCCCTGCAGGAGGGCCCGTCGACTGCAGCACAGCGGCACCTGCCTGTCAGCCCCGTTCCCCTGCCGGTCTGGACACGTGCTCCCATCCTGGTCATGCTCACACTCGCCGCTGGCTGACGCTCTTTCTGTACTGAAATTTCTTCTGTCAAAGCCTGTAAAATTGGCTTCTTAAATCAGAAACAGAAAAATACAAGCTGGTCTCGTTTGTTAGCTAATTCACAGGCTGCTGGGGAAAAAATCTTCATTTTGTTTTTTACAGAAACATGTTTTTAATTCACAAAAATTTCCTAAAACTGCCAGTGGGAATGTCTCTTTCGCGGCATACGGCCCCCCGCCATCTGTGCCGGCCTCCCCGGCCGCTCCATATTGCTCAGGCTGCCTCTTCCCCAAGCGCAGGGCTGGGGAGCCCACGCCCTCGTCTGCCTGTTGCTCCTGCCTCTGCCTTCCTGCTGCTCAGATCCAAGGGAACCTCACCTCCAGGAAGCCTTCCCAGATCACCTCCTCTCCGTGGACAGCTTCCATTGCCCCTGCTGTTCCCTCCACACTTGCTGCTTTTGCCCACGTTAAACCATAATTCGTCACACTCTGTGTCCTCTACTGAAATGCACTGTCACTGAGCTTTCACTTCTTCAATTAAAGATAAGTTTACCTTTTATTACAACAGCAACATACGGTCCGTGCAGAAAACATAAGTATAAAGAAAAATAATTGAGAAAATGTGATTACTGCCACCTGTGCTGACCCCGCGGCCCTCAGCTCTGTCCTCTGCATGGTGCAGGCGTGTCTGTCTCTAAGGTGTTCAGAGCACTGAGTTCAGGCTCAGCTCTGCAGATGGCTGCCCGTGAACACCTGCCGAACGTCACTCCCTCCTGCGCCCCCCCTCTCTCCCTCCTGCGCCCCACCTCTCCCTCCTGTGCCCCGCCTCTCTCCCCTGAGCCCCACCTCTCCCTCCTGCGCCCCGCCTCTCCCTCCCCTACCCTCCCCCCCTCCTGCACCCCTCCTCCCTCTACCCTGCCTCTGTCCCTCCTCCTCCTCCTCACGGGGTAACTTTCCTCGCATTCCTTCAAGTTTAGATTCCCTTGATACCAGAAGGAAGTAAATCTAAACATCAGCAGCGGTTTTTCCAGGCGCTGTACTTGTCAGTGGGCTTTTCACGCGCTCTGCTTCCCTAGCGTTTTGTCAGTTTTCCCATCACGTTGATCTGTCACTCTCGCCCCGCCTCTCCCTCCTGCGCCCCGCCTCTCCCTCCTGCGCCCCGCCTCTCCCTCCTGCGCCCCGCCTCTCTCCCTCCTGCGCCCCGCCTCTCCTGCACCCCTCCTCCCTCTACCCTGCCTCTGTCCCTCCTCCTCCTCCTCACAGGGTAACTTTCCTCGCATTTCCTCAAGTTTAGATTCCCTTGATACCAGAAGGAAGTAAATCTAAACATCAGCAGCGGTTTTTCCAGGCGCTGTGCTTGTCAGTGGGCTTTTCACGCGCTCTGCTTCCCTAGCGTTTTGTCAGTTTTCCCATCACGTTGATCTGTCACTCTCATGATGGGAAGAAAACAGTAATTTCATATCACTGTCCTTTCAGGGCTCCAGGGACAGAGCCTGAAGAAGCACTGCGTGCGCGTCTGACTTTGCGCCGTGGACGGCTGCGAGGGCCCTGCATGACAGGGCTGACACGTGCGTGTCTCCTCCCCCAGGTGCCGCAGGACGAATGGGGAGGCTACCCCACGGGCGGCAAGGACGAGGAGATCCCGTGCAGGAGGATGAGAAGCGGGAGCTACATCAAAGCCATGGGCGACGGGGACAGCGGAGAGTCGGACTCCAGCCCGAAGACGTCACCCACGGCGGCCATGCGGCCGGAGCCTTTGCTGCAGTCGGTGGGACAGAGGCCGCTGGGAGACCTGCAAACGTAAGGCGCACTGCCGGCCCCGCTCCGATGCGTGTCCCCGGGACTGTCTGCCGCAGGCCAGCTGGCGACAGCTTAAACATCGCTGAGTTGAAAATAGTACACTTAACGGCCAATGATTTTCAAGTCCTCTTTTGAAAAGTCAGGCCTTTGATTACCTATGATTACTTACTAATTAAGGAAGTAGACTTGGGCGAGTTCTGTGCTGAATGTTACTTTTAAAGCAACTGTCATGGCCAGCAAGACCATCAGTGTCTTCAAAGGTCATGCCAGTTACTTCCTCAGGACCGTGTGTGTGTGCTAGTGTGTGAGCGTGTGAGCATGTGTGCATGAGTGTGAGTGTATTGTGTGTGTGCGTGTGACTGTGAGCATGTGTGCATGAGTGTGTGTATTGTGTGTGTGTGCATGAGCGTGAGTGTATTGTGAGTGTGTGTGTGCATGAGTGTGAGTGTATTGTGAGTTTGTGTGAGCATGTGAGCATGAGTGTGTGTATTGTGAGTGTGTGTGAGCATGTGTGCACGAGTGAGTGTATTGAGTGCGTGAGCGTGTGAGCATGTGTGCATGCGTGTGAGTGTATTGTGTGTGAGCGTGTGTGCATGAGTGTGAGCGTGTGAGCATGTGTGTGACACGGTGTCGGGGACTGTGAGAAGTACGGTGGGGGCGCAGAGGCCACCCCCTGTGGTCACGGCCCAGACACCAGCCTCCCCACCTTTCCTGGGGTGCTGGGAGATGCACATAAGAACTAGGAAGCGCCCGAAACCCCCTGCAGCAGCAGCCGCGTCTGGCAGGTCTGTGGGCTCATAGCCTCGGACGCCCACCCACGGCCGGGTGTGGGACCCCCGGATGCTGGACATCGACATCCCTTCTCATTTTGAAAGTCTGTGATCGCTCTGTGATCGTCCACGTTAAAAGCACACGGCGTTTCAGCCACGAGCGGGAGCCAGGTGTCAGAACAACGCACCCGATCGCCCTGTTCTCCCCACGGACTCTCGCGCGCCCGCCTCGTGTGAGCGTGTGTGCATGAGTGTGAGTGTATTGTGCGTGTGTGTGAGCGTGTGTGCATGAGTGTGAGTGTATTGTGAGTGTGTGAGCGTGTGAGCATGTGTGCATGAGTATGAGTATATTGTGAGTGTGTGTGAGCATGTGTGCGTGTGAGTGTGAGCGTGTGTGCATGAGTGTGAGCATGTGCGTGAGCGTGTGTGTGAGACAGGCAGAATCAATGTGATTTTTTTTACTGCAACTTCACAAATGCATTTTCAGGCAACAGTTTTTTGAAGGGTGAAGGCAGGACACGGAACAGTTTTACAAGTACAATGGCACGTGCTTTATGTATTTGTCCGAAGATGCGTTTTTGATCAATTTAACTAATTTCTAAACTGTGGACAGAGAAAACGGGGGACCCAGCCATTCATGTGCCTGAGCAGAGACGCCTCTGCCCGTAGCGGCTGTGCCGCCGGCCAGGCTGGGGTGCACGGCAGCCGTCCTGCGTGACGGTCAGCAGCAGGGTGACCCGGCCTGTCAGTGCTTCGCCGCTCGCCATGACGCCCACTGGGATGGGGACGCTGTGGACCAGCTGCCCGGCGTCATTTCTCCAGCCCGGCCCGTTGCTCTTGGACGTTCGCTCACAGGGTGAAAAATAAGTTCTGAGTCGCACCCAGACGCGGCACGTAACAGACGGGACCCGTGACCATTCGGTTACCTCCCACAGCGGTTCTGCGGGGGGTGCGGGGGGCAGCGGGCGCGGCAGACACTCGCGTGTCACTCCATACATGCCTCACTCAGGGGGCCTGGTCAGGGACAGCGCCAGAGGCCCACCCTGCGGACGCTCACAGGCTCGTTGGGGGGAGATGGCAGGTGTCAGGAGCAGTGATTGTGGGCACAGTGTCGGGGACTGTGAGAAGTACGGTGGGGGCGCAGAGGCCACCCCCTGCGGTCACGGCCCAGACACCAGCCTCCCCACCTTTCCTGGGGTGCTGGGAGATGCACATAAGAACCCCTCCAGAGTCAGCCGCGTCTGGCAGGTCTGTGGGCTCATAGCCTCGGACGCCCACCCACGGCCGGGTGTGGGACCCCCGGATGCTGGACATCGACATCCCTTCTCATTTTGAAAGTCTGTGATCGCTCTGTGATCGTCCACGTTAAAAGCACACGGCGTTTCAGCCACGAGCGGGAGCCAGGTGTCAGAACAACGCACCCGATCGCCCTGTTCTCCCCACGGACTCTCGCGCGCCCGCCTCCCGCCTCGAGTCCTCCTCGCGGACGCTCAGCCCCCTCACTCCTCGGCGCTGGGGGCTGTCCTTGTCCCCTCCTGTTGCAGGGACGGCCCAGGTTGGGGACTTGGCACCAACACTGGCAGCGCTCAGAAGGCGGGGAAGTTTGCACTCGTAAGACCCACTTGGCAGAAACAGTGAACGTCTCCTCAAGCACCCGACCGCGGTGACGAGGCCAAGGCCACCCGACAGTGTGACCTGAGTGTTGACGGCCTTTGCCATCTGCCCACGGGAAGCGAGCGAGACGCCCTGACACAGGCACACACACGGCCACTGCAGGCCCGACGGGGGCGCCGGGAGGTAAACGCATCAGGCTGCCCCCGGCGGCGGCTGCCGAGTGCGAGCCGACCTGTGCTCCTGCCTCGCACGCCGCATACGGCCCATGCCGCACACGCCGCACACGCTGCACACACCACACACGCCTCATGCCGCACACGCCACACACGCCTCATGCCGCACACATCTCACACGCCCT